TATATAGTAAGTATTTACAATTTTATTGTTTAAATAGATACAAACTCTTAGAGGGTGTTTGGTAGGTAAGAGTTTTTTTATGTTTGGGAATTACAATTACCAGGAATATACGGAGAATGTGATCAAAAAGCTATTTGATAAATCAAAATATTATTAGGAATTTTAACTCAAGTTTTCTAATTCTATATTTGGGTGATTATCAAATATAGCTGGAAATTTTTAAAACTGCATTGCTGGTGCGAATAGCGCAATCACCGCGGGAAGAAAATATTGCTTGAAGACTTAGAGATAGTGATGCCATCACTGCGCTAGTGACGCGGAGGCCAAACTATTTTTCCCACCTCTTGGGAATACCAGATATTCTTGGATGTCATTTTGTCTTAAAAAGTGTTCACAAAATAGAATTCGAGGAAATTTTTTACAATTCTTATACCAAACGTTAGTAAATAGAATTTTTAATGAATCTAAAAAATATATTTGTAACAAACGTACCTTATACTAATTGAAATCAAATAGTTTCAAGTAGAGCCGGCAAAACGGGCTTGGCTCGGCGAGCCAATCCGCCCCACCAGCTAAACGGGACGGGGAAGACTGAGTTTTTCAACCCATTTCAAAAGCGGAGTGGGACAGGTTCATTTTTTGGCGGGTTAATGGCAGACATAGGTGGGCCGAGGCAAGTCAGTGTAAAATAGGCTCGGGCTAGCGGGCCAACCCGCCAAACGGGGCTGGACAGGCCGAGTTTTTCAGCCCACTTTCAAAAGCGAGGCGAGGCGGGCTGATTCATTTTTTGGCGGGGCGGGGGCGAGGCCGCCCGCCTACTTTGCCACCTCTAGTCACAAGGGATCCCCTGATGGCTGGTGTATTACACTATCTACTCAACAATAGTTTGATGGAACAGTTGCAAGCCCAGGATTAACTATTCACATTCTTTCAGACTTACTTAGCCTGGGCAAGCCAAATGTCATAGCTATAGCTCCTTAGCCTTCAATAATCACTCAATTTACAAGATCTCCTTACTAGAGTTATTCCAAGCATTTCTCCTTCCCCTCCAAATACTGACATAACACCCACCAACTTGATCTTAAGCTCCCATGTAAAAACAGGAGCAATCAGTGACACCATGCACCTACAAAAGAGGGTTGTTATGTCCAGTTTACACAGAAACAAACCTTCACTATTGCCATACTAACAGCCTCTAAAACTAGCCTACAAAGCCAGCAAGAAGCATGGTTGTTATGTTTTCCTTAACAGCTCTGAATCTCATCATCAGGGATGCAACAGAGACCAGCTTATCATCATATAAAAGGCTTATCACTCGTCGCATAAAACAAAGCTTCATGGAATATAAACCGAAGAAATCGACAACAATTCAACTCGAATGACCATCAATTTGAAACTGGAATGACCATAAATTTGAAGAGCTGGTAAAGAGACAGTGTTGTAATGGACATCAGTAAAGGAAGAAAAAAAGATAACTGCAAAGGAAGAAAAAAAGACATAAGCCAATGAAGAGCTGGGATATATATCAGCCAATGAAGGGCTAGGATAGACAATGCTGCAACTGGGATACAAGCCGACAGAGCTACTGTAACTGGAATAATCAGTGGACCAGACAACAACTGAGATAAATGCTCCCCCTGAATGGAAGGCCAAAATAAAGCCAAACAATGGCAAAAACAAATCAAATACAAGGCACATACTTGAATAACACCGCAAACATATGTTGGAATAAAATGAAATTGGCCAAATACAAGCCACAAAAGAAAATCAAAATAAAAATAATAAATCACCGAAGAAGAAAACATAGCCGGAAGAAACAAGATTCAGCTAGAGAAATGAAACGCGGTAGAGGAGATATGACCCGGAAAGAATGCACAGCCAGAAAATGAAGAGATACGACCAGAATAGGGGGATCTGGACGTCACCAATAACGAGGTCAAAATCCCAAAATAAGACCAGATCCAGAAATGTCTCGTAGAGAAAAGAATAATCGGACCAATTGCGTTCAGATATGATGCTCCCAGGCCAAAAAGGCAGCAAAAACAAGAACATGAGTAGATGAACAGGCTCGAACAAAAAATACTGCTTGAAGAAGCATTCATGATCAATGGCGCCTGTGAATAAATTTGAAACTGTAGCACACACAATCAATAGCCCATACGAACAGACCTGGAACAATGAAGGCAGAGGCAACTGCATTGGTTTGAAGTGTGGTACAAGAGGAATATAGATTGAGATCAGATCTTGAAGAAAAAAATGCCCGGAACTAGAACACAAGCAGAGATGGCACTGCAGATGACAAACAACGGCGGCGCCATGGACGATAGAGACACGCGATGCGACAGACTGCAAATTTCTTAACAGTCTCAGATCAACCAACCAAGACCATATCCAACACCGGAATGAGGAGGCGAGTGCAACGCCGAAGCTAGCGGCCAGAAAGGATGGTTCACGTGCCGTCACGCATGGAGGAAAGGTGCAGTTGTGTTGAAAATGCTCAGCCCTTGCTAGCGCGTGAGGGCGCGTGCGACGATTGTTGGAGGCGAGGGTTGGACATAGGTGATCGCACTGGGAAGACGATTTGAACTGTGGTGGTGATGGCCAAAAAGTCGCCGGACAAAATTCTGGCGGTGGACTGTGGCGGTGATCGGATGAGGAAGGACAACTAGAATTGCTTCTGGCTAGTGCTAGATGTTTATGGTGGTTGGGTCTTTGATGGAAGATAGGAACGAGAAGAAGAAACTAAGAGAAGTAGACAGAGAAAGGGAACAGACAGGAAAGCCAATCCTTCACGGTGTGTGATATATCTCTACTACCATATTAAAATTATGGAAAAGAGAAATAAGAAAAGGCGGACAAGGATTCCTCTCTTTAGGCTCTATATACTATGTAAAGAACCTATTCAACCCAAAAGTTCAAGCTGTTGGGTGATGACCTCTTTAATGATTTATATTATACTCAAACACACCTCCTCACAAAAGAGCTCATTGGACTTGAAAGGTGGATGATGCATCAGACCCAGCTTACCTTGTGTTAAGAAATTCCACAAGAGAAAGTGGGATACGATGAGGATCGAACCCGACACAAGGCTCTGATATCATGGAGAATAACAAGAGACGAAAGGAACATTAAAATAAATCTATACATTGAATTTATTCAGGAGAGTACAATATATAAAGAAACACTAATGAGCTCAGTGCAGACCTAACCTAAATCCTAATAAAATAAGAAAATAGATCTTTACAAATAATAAAGATATTCTTTCCAACAAAAAGTTTTTGTTTGAAAGTCCAAATTAATAAATATTTGTTTTAAACAGCACATGTGATATTAAAAAAATTAAAATGCTAGGGAATATGCCCTCACTATTACATGGAGAGGAGGTTGCCCCAGCTCAAAGGCGATACAGAATTGGTAATGGTATGGAGAGCACTAATTATGAGGGAGTGAAGACCACATGTTCAATAATTCCTGAAAATTTCAGTTAACTTTGAGTTAGTCCTTTCCTTGGACATGTATGGTTATCTGGTATGATTAACTTTATCTTAGTAACGTTTCCAGGGGCTATAATAATAAAACATAACTTTTTATAGCCTTTTCTTGCTCCAAAACTAAATCATGCCAGATAGAATTTTAATGGAACTCGTTGCTTAATGATCATTCTGAACATTTATCATAATGTGTTACCATGGAACTGGTTCATTCTGAACAAATGTATTCTGCTCTTCTGTATTGGTTGGCATTTACATGATATTTGGATATTATTTGCCATGGTTATTTGACTAAAAGAGCTAGACAAATTGCTGATTATAGCTAAAATAGAACTTTTGGATTATCTGGCAAGATGCAACATACATTATACTAAAGGGTACTTCATTGACACCAAATGGAGATACGGTCAGTGGTAAAACACAAAGCAGAGGAGGTAGAAAAAAATAAGGCAAACCATAAAGTCTTGAGAGAGAGATTAATGCATGTGAATGCGATGGCATACTTTTTTGTTCAACCAAACCAATTCAAGAAATCACCAGCAAATTGAAGAGAAAAGCAATAAGCCTGGCTAATATAAATGAAACAAATGCAAGAGATGGGATGACAGAATTGTGTAATCAATAAATGCAGTTGAATGCAGAGATTTAGATAAAAATATTAGTCATTTCCAGAATATAGAAAGCAAAGTACAAAAGCAAATTAAGCAATATTAATGGGTAACTCTTAAAAAAATAATTTCAGAAAGAGAAGTTGAAGTGTCAAATTTTGTTTTTTTGTAATCAAAGTAAGCAACCTATTGCTTTCCGTGTGGAGTGCACACTCCCTTCAATTTATAAATGACACGCTTTAGTCGTGGCATGCCATGATGTTTAGTTTCATTATTTTTCATGCTCATTTTATGGAATGCACACTCCTTCAAATATTAAATATATACCCACTTTTTTTATACACGCTTTACTTTCACTTCTAGATAGTTAAGTAATTGTTAGACTAGGAATAATTATTGTGCCCAACCAATTCTTACAAAAATTACACATGACTGATTTTATTATATCTCTAAAAGTGCCCATGTCCGAAAGGGTTGAATAAGCATATATACCCATTCATTATGTTCTTCTAGATTCTTGATCCCTTCATTGATAAAACTCAAATTCAAATAATAAACGAAAGTAAAAATAAGATCAATTGAACCACGTCAGATATTGAATGATATAGGCTGAAGTGATCAGGAATATCTGTGTGATGCATAGTCTTTTTAGTGATGAAATCCAAAAATGCGAACCAGATTCATTAGCTAGTTAAGTTACCACTTGTAGCTAGTGCCCTCCACACTATCTCCTTTCTTTTATCAATATCTAGGTCCATTTACACTGCTAAACCTTAATGATAAGTCTCTATAAATACCATTCATTTGAACATGTGAACACCACAAGCTCTCAATATTATATTGCCCTTTTCCTCCTTTTCTATATTGGTATATTCTCAACTTTATTTTACCTTTGTCCTTCATGGCTTCCCTTGGTGACAGAACTAATGAAATTTCACCTAACCATGTTGAGATTCTTATCCATGCAATTAATGGTGTTGATCCAAAACCAAGTCAAGAGATTGAAGAGAGCAACATTGACTACTCTAAGAGGGCTCAATGGCTCCGCGCAGCCGTGTTAGGAGCCAATGATGGGTTGGTCTCTGTTGCATCATTGATGATGGGTGTTGGAGCTGTTAAGGAAAGCATCACAGCTATGATTCTTGCTGGCTTTGCAGGGTTAATTGTTGGGGCTTATAGCATGGCAATTGGAGAGTTTGTCTCTGTGTACACTCAATATGACATAGAGATGGCTCAAATTAAAAGAGAGAGAGAAGTTAATATTGCTGGAGTGGGTGAAGAAGATCAAAGGGAGAAGCTGCCAAATCCATTTCATGCTGCTTTAGCATCAGCCCTTGCATTTTCTGTGGGTGCTATGATACCACTTTTAGCAGCTTCATTTATAAGAGACCGTAAGATTAGGCTGGCTGTTGTTGCTGTTGTGGCTAGCCTTGCATTGTTTGCATTTGGAGGGGTAGGAGCTATGCTTGGAAAAACTCCAGTGTGGAAGTCTTGTGTCAGAGTGCTGATTGGAGGTTGGATAGCTATGGCCATAACATTTGGCCTGACCAAGTTGATTGGCTCTGCTGGACTTAGGATGTGATTAATTACTAGCCCTTCTATGTAAGTTTTGACTTCATAGCATCTTTTTCTTTTTCTTTCTTTCTCTCTTATTAATTGGATAGTTGGATTCCTTGTGTGGCCTTGTGGGGTACTTTCTTGACTTACATATAGCATTAAAAAATGTAATAAGAGACTTCGTAACACAACTTTCCAAAATGTTATCCTAGTTTTGAGTGCTTTCTTAGGTGAACACACAAGTGTTCCCTCTTGTACATGTATTTTCCAAAGGATTTAACCATGTTTTCTTTTTCTCTTTATGCTTTATTGCTGTTTTTCCACGCCTGTATCAGCATCAGTAGGAAAAACAAAATGTCTCCGAAGTGTTCCAACTTCCAACTTTATAGATTTGGTATTGTGCAGTGTAAAGATTTGCGGCACTTCCAACTACATATGTGGGAGATATTATAGGGTTTGCATTCTATCATTTAACATGACTACACAAACTTTCCTACACACACAATATTTTGTGAGACTCACATGTTTTAAAGAAAAAAAAAAAACTACCGGCACGCAAAACGAATCTCTATAACATTACACAATCATTTTTCCTACAACATAACTCTTATAAAACCCGATATTATATCATTTGAACCGGCAAGTAAAGTTACATGGATCTTTGTGAAATGCAAGCAGACCGTGCTAATAATGCAAAATATCTCATAGTAAGCATAACATAAATATAGGCACTCTTAGCCTTCTATTAAGTGGCGGATAAGATATGCACTAAGGAGAATCCAAAGGGAATAACCTGTAATGCATAATTCCTTGGTCCATGGTAGTCCCATCTTGTCCTAAAATAAGAATGAAGACACTTAATTTCTTTATGTGATTTCAAACATAAATTAAACTAAAAGTTAAAGTGTACCATACTACCTTTCAAAAAGAAACCAGAAACTAGAAAGTGTTATATGTCTGCATTTTCATCGTGATACGGTAAAGCTCAAAGAGGATATGAATTCTAACCATAGGCCCATAGCGGATGACTGCAAGAATATTATTGCATTTACCATTTTTTTAAGGGAAAAACTCAAAAAACCCAGCTTTGAATAACTTATACTTCTATACTTCTTCTTTTTTAAATAATCATTTAACCCACTCACTTATACTTCTATACTTCTTTTTTTAAAATAATTATTTAACCCACTGATTATGAATTTTTAATATATATTTTTTGTATTCTTAATCTATTTTATTCGTTTTATTTAGATATCTTTGTTCTTTTTCATATCTCTATTTTATTTTCTTTCTTTCTTTTTATTTTTATTTTACAAAAATCCTTAGCATATAAGGTGGCACAAGGCTAAAAAAAGAAGAAGAAAATCAGAATAAAATATACCAAAAAGTGAAGAAAAAGAAAAAAAATGCCAAACATATCCAAATAGAAAGAATAAAATAGATCAAGGATAAAAAAGAAAAACATAAAAGAAAAATAAAATCAAATATATCGAAAATTCATAATTGTAATTTCTTTTTGTTTTAATTTTTTTATCTTAATTTTTTCTTTTATTTTTTGTCTTCGGTGTTTTTTTTTCATTTGGACTAATTTTATTTTATTTTAATTTTGGTCTTTTCATTTGACCTTATTTTTTCTTCTATTTTTTTTATTTAGACAGATTTCATTTTTTATTTTATTTTCCTTTTAGGACATATTTGGTGTGATGAATAAAGCTAGATAGTATAAGCTTATACTATACTTTTTGACATTTTCAGTTGTTTGATGTGATCATTGTATAGTATAAGCTTATACAGCAGAACCCCTTAATACATCAAAATGATGTATAACTTAATCAGGCCTAAAGAGGTGGGATTAGGCCTGATAAAGGATTGTTGTATTGATATTACTTACAAATATAATTCTCAAGAACTAATATATCATTTCAATATTAATATATTAACATAATTTTTTTAATATATTAATTTTTAAAATTTTGGAGAATATTATCTTATACAATACCATACCAAACGCTGGATAATATTAAAATTTAATCAGGTCTTATACAATCAGGTCTTATATTATCAGGACTTATTCAATACTATGCACCAAACATGCCCTTAGTCTTTTATTAAGTGTTCTAAGTTTTCATAACATCTTGTCTTTTTTATCACTTTATTTTCTTCTTCTAAGAAGGGTAAAATAAGTATATTTAGTTCAGTTTCGAACAGTGTCAAGCAGGGGCGTGGATGGAAAAAATCACAAGGGGTTAAGTGATTAAAAAAATAGGGGTGTATATGATTCAAAATAATACCATACCAGTTTTTTGAACTTTTCCCTTTTTTTATACAGTTACTCCACTCCAAGACATTCTAATAATAGAATTTAATGTCTATCATGTTATAGGAGATAATTTTATCTCTTGTACAAACATAAAAGTATGTGGACCCATATTTTCTTTTTTTTCTCTTTTCTCTTCACATGGGTCCCTAAATTTTTATGTCTGTGTAGGAGATAAAATTATCTCTTACAATATGAGAAATATCAAACCTCTACTAATAATTATGAGAATTTTCAAAAAGTCAAGTTATTATAAGAGGGAAAAGTTATATTTACAAATTTTTTATTTACAAACTGCATTATGTGCTAGGGCTAGTACAGCATACAGTGTACTATCCCTAGTATATAATGTAGTTTATGAAAAAAAATTATAAATATAACCCAGGTAAGAATTGTTAATGACAACTAGTGAATTATGTTATGCAACTATGAATTATTAATTAATTATATAAAGTGATTAATCAGTAATCACTAACTAAGTTTGAATTTGTTATTTAAAATTGTTTTCACCTTTTTTGGTTAAGATTGGATAGCACAATTTCTAATTAGAATAGTTATATCAAAAGTGATGAATATTCGACAAAAGTTGTTGGGATTTTAATTTGCTGTAATATATGATTTTGTCTTCGTTTGATCCCTTTTAATTCTTTGGCCAACACAAATTTTTTGGAAATGGATCCTCTCATGTAGGAAAAACACATGATATGATCATGTGGAAGATCACAACCATTTAAAGGTAAATCAACGGTTATGATTTTGTAACTATCTATTGTAACATTTTTTTTTCTCCTCCTTTATTACCATTGATCCACCTTTGTATGGTTATGACTCTCCACATGACATGGTCATGTGAATTTTCACATCTAGATCCAATTTTTTTAATATCTTCAATATATAAATGGATTAATTCGCAGATAAAAGAAATCTTCCAACGATTTAGTAATAAACAGTTCATGGCTAGAGTATCAAATACTGTAGAAAACACTTTTTTAATTGATAAAATTATTTCTCCAGCCGTTTGACATCCAGATAAATGTATAATTGCACCACTAGGATTAGCCTAGTGGTGTTAGGTGTGTGTAGTGTGTATTAGGTTGCAAGTTCGATTCCTGTAATATTCAAAAAAAGATAAATGTTGTTATCAAAAAAAAAAAAAAAAAGATAAATGTATAATTATGATTATTCACATTTAATATTTTTATATTTTATATAATTAAGATTTTTCATATTTAATGTTGTCATTTATATATGGGTTTTGTATCTATAATTTAACATGACCACAACAACTTTCCTACACACACAACATTTTGTGGGACCCACAATTTTTGAAACCAAAAAAAAAAAAAAAAAAACTCTGGCACGCAAAACGAATCTCTATAACATAACACAATCACTTTTCCTACAACATAACTCTTATTAAACCCTTTACGTATATATATGTGTGTGTTGAAACGTAACCCTTTTTAATATGTTACACGTTTTATTGAACTTTCCAAAGGTTACAACTTACAACTTACCAGGTTGAGGCGTTGAGCTATCACTAAATGTTATTTGTCTTCATTGAGATCATAATATTCGAGTTTCCAGTATTAGTATTTATATTTCTGTATTCACAGTTCACTAATACGTTATATTTCTTTACCAAAAAAAAAAACTACTACTACTTCCCACTTTCATCTTTGTAAGTGATAACTTTTTCTGAAAGCAAATCACCGAAAACAGTTCAGCTTACAAATAGAGTAAAGTTTTTTTTTTGGTCCTAACAAAAAAATACGATTTCCATTTGAAACATTACTCTACAAAATAAAAATGAAGAACATATTTTTTTGTTAGGAACTCAAAAAGAACTTTACTCTACAAAATAAAAGTGCTAACTCCTAAATTTCTATTTTGTTTCCATTTACCGTAGAGATTTAAAAAAAGTAAATAAATGTTTCATATTGGGATTTGATGGTAAAAGCTATACGTTTAGGGAAATCATACTCTCATGCAATAGGAGAGCAAAAAAATTTTCTATACAAATTCGTTTTTCGTGTCAATTAATTTTTCTTTTCTTTTATAATATAAAACATGGAACTCACATTTAATTTGTTTCTACTTTTATTTTCTCATGTTTTCCTGCGACATAAGAAAACTTGAACCCATACTTTTATTAACAAAAGTTTTTGAGATTGATGAACTTAAAAATAAAACTAAAAAAACTCTCTAATAATTACTCAGCCAATGATATATATCCAACTTTTCTTTTTGAGAAAAAGAAAGATATATAGAATAGAACAAATCGAAAACAAAGCTTGTGAAGTTCTCATATGAAAATTAACCTTATTCAATGAATATGAGTGAATGGTTGCTCACTCAGTACTTTAACAAAAAAACAAGGGCATGTAGAATTCACAATTCCAATGCACTAGAACCCAATAATTTGGTTAGCCCAAAAGTGATAGCCATAGCCAACCATCCCCCAAGAAGGACCCTAACACAAGACCTTATCTTAGGTGTTTTTCCCAGCACAGCTCCAACCCCTCCAAAGATCACCAAGGCCAAGCTAGCCACTGCCACAACCACCATAAGCCTTATATTGTGATCTCTAATGGATCCAGCTGCAAGTAAAGGAACCATAGCACCTATAGAAAATGCGAATGCAGATGCAAAAGCAGCTTGCCATGGATTTGGTAACGTCCTTTTCTCCATCCCCAATATTTCCACATCTTTCTCTGCCTCTCCTCCACCATTCATACTCATATCCCTCTTCATTTGACCAACCTCAACTTCATACTGAGTATACACAGAAACAAACTCTCCAATTCCCATACTACAAGCTCCTGCAACTAATCCTGCAAAACCAGTAAGTAGCATAGATTTAACATCAGTTCTAACAGCTCCTATAGCCATCATCAATGAAGCAACAGAAACCAACCCATCATTGGCTCCCAATACAGCAGCACGAAGCCACTGTGCCCTTTGTGAGAAGTCAATGTTGCTGCTATGTTCTGTCACTTTGGTTTGTTTCTGATCCTGTCCATTTGCATGGTTTGGAACTACCTCAACATGATTGAGTGAAACCAAACCACATTGTCCAAAAGCATCCATGGGTGACAACAACAAACAGAGGAAAGCAAGAAACCAGGCAAGTAATGATTCTGAGGAGTGGAAATTCTGGGGTTTAAGTAATGATTGATTCTTTTGTTTAAATGTATTAATTATTATAATGTTTGGTTATGCCTTTTGGCCTAACCTAAAGAATAAAAGATATATATACTTAAAAAAAAAAAAAGAATAAAAGATATATGATTGGTATTTGGGAACTCGTATTCTCCGCGCAGAGACAACTTTGCAAAGGGTGAAAGTCTTCAATTTAGGTAAATATATACTGGGCTTTATTTTCTCACGTTCACAATTGAATTTTTACGTTGTGATTCAATTTGATGTGGTTTCACATTTATTAAAAAATAAAATTTTACACACAAATTAAAGAATCACGATATAAAATACTTCTCCTGCAATCTAAAAAATATTTTTCTCATATATATTTGTACATAATGCCTCTTCTGAGCATCAGTTTAAAATTCATTTTTTGGTTTTTATCCTCCAAAGTTACATAATTCTACACCGTGTCAAATTTAAGGACAGACTCGTAATAATTATAAGCTGAATTGAAATAAATAAATAAAAAACTCTATCATTGCTGATCTTTCATCATTATAAAAATATCTCGACAGAAATGTCAAATTGTGTGTCCATATTTTTTGCTACAAAGGCCATCCTAATTTTTATAAATTAGAATATTACTCTTGACGAGGAGTAGTTCTTAATTATTTCTTCTCTTTAACCATTCACAAGGGACATTTTTAAAATGCTTCGGGACTATCAAATTGTTTGGTGCTCATTTTCCTTTTTTGATAAAAATAAAATTACTCTTAAATCCTTCTCTTTTGTTATATTTCTCTCTTAATTTTTTTTTTATTTTCCCTTTTTAGCAAAAGGCACGTAATCCCAAAGCACGAAAGAAACGCTCATTCACAAGTCTTCCTAGTGGAATTTAAATACAAAATCTGAGTTGAGATACCAAATAAGTACAATTTGTACCCCTTCTATAATCTAGGTAACGTCAACAAAAGTCATTGACATCTTTTGGCATTACACGAAACAGGACTACTTTAATTGTTTGAAGGGCATCGTCAGCCATGTTTGGTAGAGTAGAAAATTTCTTTTATCAAAAAAAATATAATTACTAGATATATGATATGAAATGAGTTTGGTAGAAAAATTAAAAAAAAAAAATTATTTGGTAGGTCAAAATTTTATCGAAAAAATTGTATAAAAATTTTATTGAGTCTATGTTTGGTTAAAATTAAATATTGAAAAAAAATGGGTTAAAATTACGAAAGTGGATATTTTATTTTTTGAATCTGAAGCAAAAAAATAACCAAACATGGTTACCATTCATTTCACAATAGACGAGGGTTATTTTCGACAATAAATTTGTGCCTATTTCTTTTGTAGGTTACAGAGAATAGAACACACAACCACACACTCACACACATCCTATTACACACATCCCATCACTAGACTAGCCCTAGTGGATAATTTGTGCCTATTTCTTCCTTTCCCGGTAAAGGAGATAATACCACATATGATGTGGTTAAATTGCACAGTGAAATGAATGAAAATTTTCTCACAAATTAAAATGTCTGGTAAAGAATTTGTCCGGTTGAATTTCTGAGACACTTCTACCAAACATGGTAAAGTTGAAAACCCAATCTAATCTGTATGGATAATTAGGAGAAAAACTCTTATCAAACAGCCCTAAAAAACAAATATGGCAACTATAGCACATCCTGTTAAGGGCTTTTTTACTCAAATAATGTCTGATTTCAGGAAATTACCAAGACACAAGTTTTCAAACCTATCGTTGAGATATTATTCTTTTTACCACGTTACATTTTAAGATTTTATAACATTTTTGTACATTTATATTTTTGTACCTTATTTTTCAATATTTTACCTTTAATTCATTGATATCAATTACAAAGTTTTTTTTTTAGTACTCACAATTACAAAGTTTTAATCACAAAATTTCAGGAAAAAGTGCACCTCACTTCTCTTTTTATCACAAAATATCACATTTGTCTAATTAAGGTTTATTTTGTTATATAATTTAAATTTATGCTTATGTATTTCGATTACAAATCAATATAAGTATATTGTTTTCATTTATTCAAATATTTCCAATGAATTATAAATTATAAATTGATAAATTGATATTCTGATCTAATGATGTTAGAGAGTGATAAGCAAAGGTAGACAAAAAAGACAGGTAAGTAGAATAACTTATCCCATATTTTAATTATACATGTAACAAATATAGGAAAACTACTGTTAAAATAATTTCTTAAAATAATAAAATAAAAGATAATTTATATTAAAGTGGCATATGTGCGAAGGAGGTAAGCTTGAAGGAAAAATCTATCATATTACGGTCGCAGGTACATCTAACCAATAATAACATCACATATCAGCTTATAGGTATACTAGAGAGAGGGAAAAAAAGTAATTTTAATATTACAAATAAATACTTCTTAGAATACATAGTTATAATACTATAATCCACTCAATGAACGGTGCTACTGTTGTTTCGAAGATGCACTCGAGCTTGAAGGGATTCTGTGAATATATACGATGCAATCACATGAACTTAGTCAACTTTTTTTTTTTTAATAAAAATGGTAGCATTGAGGTTTGAATTTACAAACTATTCATGTGGTTTTTTTTGTTTTTTTTTTTTTGGGGGGGGGGGGGTAGTTATAAAAAAATGTGTTAGAATGTGTCATTGTGATTACTACAGTTCTTTAAACATGTGATACCAGAAATTCTGTAAAAAAATTAAAATAAAAAAATACCTGAAATGCATAGAAACATTAAGGCTAGCAACAATGACAATGTTCCAATAATAATTTTAAATTTTAAATTTTCAATAATTTTTTGAGAAATAGGAATTATTCAGGTAAGGAATAATCGATAAACAATAAAAAAAATTATCTCTGAGATTAATTGAGTACTAGAATATTCCGATTTGATCAGAAGAAAGTGACTATTTATTTATGCCAATAGTTGCCCACGTCCAAAACATAGTTTCATCAATAGGAAATACGTCTAATCTTGAAACTTTTGGTGATGCCGCAAAGCCACATCATATATGATGTGAATCGAGAAATGATTATATGCTTTCTGAACTCCAACGAGTTATCAATATTAATTATTACATTCATTTAATAAACGAGAATCGGAATCTTCAGCGCATGTATCTTAATTCTTAGGCCATGTTGAGTTGTATGAAATGCGTTAACGAAAGAGAATGATGAATTAGAGTGGAATTAAATGTTCGTTCTTATTCATTTATTTTTATATGCCTAAGAATAAAAAAAATGAACTTATTTTAGTTTTAAATTTAGCATGTCATAGTAGGGATGTTCATCAACCGATACAAATCGATTCAAACCGCGAAAACCGAACCGAAAAACCGATAACCGAATAAACCGAAAATCGAAAAATCGAAAACCGAAAAAAAAATGCAAATTTTAATTGGATTGGATCGGTTTTCGGATGGGTTGATAAAAATCGATCTAATCCAAACCGATCCAATATATTAATTATCTTCAACCTATTTGTCCTTTCTCCAATCATAGTCCAAAAATTTCTAAACTCAATACCCATTAACACATCAACTAAACCCAAGAAAAAACTTAGTCACGTATCATCAACTATAGTATTGTTTACTGATATTTTTGTATTTCAATTTTTTTTTTTACAAAACCAATCTATACAAAAGATGTTATTTGTACAATAATCATGAAACTAATTTTAGGATATTCAAAAAACCGAAAACCGATCCAATCCAAACCGAAAAAAATTGGATTGGATTGGATCGGATTTGAAAAAAAAATTAAACCGAATGGATGATTACATAATCAAACCGAAGGGATTGGATCGGATGAGTTTTGCTTCCAAAACCGATCTAATCCAGACCGCGAACACCTCTATGTCATAGTTCCTGTTTGAATCCTCTCTTTTTTAAGCTAGAAGTTACTTATAAGTATAAGCTAGGCCAAACAAATTTTGAAAAAAACTTATAATAAAAAACTCTTTTTATAATGAAAAAAAAAAAAAAGCTGAAATCTAAAAGCTCCTTTTTTTTAAACTCTTATCTGCTTTTCTTGAATTGTGTGATTTTTTTTTTAAATGAAGAGTTATAAAGATAGAGAGAGATAATTTTCTTGAAATATGTGCTTTTAAGTTAAAATTTTTATGTAATTAACAAACAACTTTTAGCTTTTTTTTAAGCTGTAACTTATAAGTAACTTCTAACTTCATAAAGAGAGGATCCAAACAGGCTCATGGTAAATACATAAACTATAATAAAAAAATGTATATATATATATATATATATATATATATATATATATAATTTCCTAAATTATAACCGTTAGATGGACGAAAATCAACGGTTAGGATGGAGAGTAAGACTTATAAGTCTTACTCTTGAGTCAAATGATCTCTCTCTATATATATATATATATATATTTTACACTGAACAGACTTAGCTCAGTTGGATTTGAGCTAAACAATTTTTCAGGCAGGGCCCAAGATTCTAAGATTGAACATGTGACAGCGATTGGAAGTAAAACCGCACAGCCATGTCCATATGGTTCGGCATGCGATTGGAAGAGACCTTTTGACGGTTGAAGTTGCTTTATGGAGGGATAAGGGTTTTGATCCGGACCTGAGTAAGTCAGGCCCTGAGATATTCGGCCTATGACACCGATTCAGAACATGCCCTAGAAATTTTTTCTCTGTAAACTGTTATTCAACATCAACGGTACCTTTATCCCAAATTAATTGAGATCGGTGATAGATGAATCTAAATAAAAGATACAAAAAAGTTGAAAAAATAAAAATAAATATAATAGAATAGTAAATATATATATATACATATATATAAAGTAAAAGTAAAAAAAAAAATACAGAAACTCCTAGAACAGATTAAAGTTACCACATTCCCAAAGTTTGATCCCTAAACCACCATTTTCATTTTAATTACGAAAGTACCTTTGTCATCTACTTCCATAGGCTAACACAACTTTCATCAGTCATTTTTTACATAAAAGACCTGGTACAGCTAACAAGACCGAGGTTCTCAATGCCAACATCAATTCTAAAATACTCAAAATACTATCTTCTCTAAAGCGGTTAATGAATAAGAAATTAAGAACACAATTCCGGAAACATTACATTTTAGGCTCGCATTCGACATAAGAACAGGTAAAGTAGCATAGTAAAATATACCTTCCCCCCTGTCAATGTATTTAGAAATTGCATGCTTTCTCATTTATCTCCATCCACTGCAATGCAAATTTTGATGCAAGTTTCCTATACTTATTATTTAACAACCAAATTTCAAACTTCACTTTCTCAAACACAATAATAAATGTTTTTGAAGGTGCTTGCGAACAGCCCAGTTTGCATATTTGATACAAGAAAATTAACAGATTCTTTATTGAAAGTAAGAAGATCTACAGTTCAACCCATATGATACAAAGATAGCTCAATTCAATCATTTCTTTAACGTGACGTGGTAAGCACGTTGCAAAATTCTCAACGTCAATGAGTATAACTAGACAGGTGAGGATATCATACCAAAAACAACAAAAGATGAACAAACAAAATCAAAAGAAAAAAGGCATAACCCTTGGCTAACCCCGCAATTCATCTAAAGATCAAGCATTACTCACATGAAAGGTTATCACTATCAGCTTTACCTGTAATTACCTGAAACCCACATGGTACCGCACACAGAGCTGTAAGCGATAAATGATAACTAACCAAGAGTCCAGCAGTAAACTTCAGCTCCAGTAAACTTGCGACCATTTTGAGGTTGATACAGTAAAAGACGTCCAAGTCAGCTACAAAGAAAATGGGCAATCATTAAAAAAAAAAAAGGAAATCAGCTAACCACCATCAATGATAGATCTAAAGCTTTTCATTTTCAGAAAAAGAAAGAAAGAAAGGAAAGGTAGGAATGACTATACATAGTATAATTAAAAAGAGAATTCTGATTCCTGTACTCATGTCCAGTATAGCACCACATCTAAAATTTAAAATTACTTAGCCATTCCTTTTTTTCAAATTTGTCAGTTTCTAAGGTAAGTGAATCCAATCATGAAAACTAAAAAATAAGCTGATAAATCTTTGGCCTTTGCAAGAAACTCTACATGATTCTACACAAGTCTCAATATAATTATCGGAAGCTTAACATTTCACAGCTTAAGTTTGCTGAGCCCAAGCAAATCCACAAACCAACAAATCCATTCAGACAATGTTCTGAAGTAATTGTGAAAACAGTCAAGAGACATCTAAATAATATAAGAACCAAATAAAGAATATAGAGGTTTAACACAAAACCCGACCAAAAATTATCTCTGCTAGATACCTTCCAAACTTAGCTTCTTCCATACCTAGGGCTATCTGTATAGATTTTACAATTTTTCTAAGACCTAAAAAAGATGGCACCGTACCACCAGTAAGAACCATCATATGCCACAACTGATTAATACAGGATAAGAGAAACACTCCATTCCTATTAGAATAAAAACTTCTAAACCTTACAACAACAAACAGCCTAAAGAAAAACTACTGAAACATTCCCAGCCATCGTAAAGCTAGTAAGCTACTCAATCAAAATGATATTATTTTCAGAATATTCCATTCATCTTGAGTCTTGTCCATCTAAAGTCCTACACGAACATTTTATAAGGTCAACCAGAATGTGATTTCAGGGTAGATTCAGCAATTTTTCATGAAGCATCTAAATAAGCAAAAAGGAGAGTGAAAGACTAGATAGATCATACAGTCAAACTTCAAAAGGATGGACAGAAGAATCAGGAGAAAAATCCGTTAAGAAATTGGTAACTTTAAATGCCTGTAAAACTGTGAACGAGTATAATATGAAAATCTACTTCCAATATAACAGAAAGCGTTGTATTTCCAATCATTTCATCAATAAAATTATTGATAACACTTTTCTTATCATTATTCCTTTTCCCAGTCTACATAACTTTAATTCTTGAACACAACTTTGTTCATTTTTCCAAAGGTTTAAAAGCAAAAGCAGAAAAGCAAATACAATGTTAGAAATGATAACGGACAAAGAAAATAACAACAGCCTTCAATTTTAACCACAAACAAGGAGAAGATAAAAACTTTCTATACCTGTTCCCTTCTAGGATGGCTCTCTGGAATATCCACTTTCACAAGCTGATGCTTACAAATGAGCATTAAATGACTGACATGAAGCATTAGATATTGTTCTTAATTCCACAGAACAATTGAATGGAACCCCAACAGTCGAGTCCTGACTCCCAAGATAAATCTTATTATAAAGGATTTTGGGCTTATTATCAAGGTTTGGTTTTGAACTACAATTTCTCCTACTATACTTCAAGAAATAGCGATCTGGCTGCCCATTGCATCTATCTTCCCCATGCAATGCAGAGTCTGCTTGCTTGCGATCAAGTTCCATGCCACTATCTTCTCCACCAAAGGTCATCAGCCGATCAGAGCAACTTCCCTCCCCTTCCTTCAGCAGATCTTCCCCTATCTCTTCAACATCGAATTCAGTTGTGTGTTCACCTTCTTTTGAACAAGTTTTCATGTCACTTCTGCCCATGCAGAGACGATTCAGATCAGTTGAAGAATCACTATCCAAAGATCCTATAGAAACCGAAGGTTCACATAAAGATTTCTGAGAGTCCTCATATTGCTTATTATCATTGGATAGTTCATGCTTATCACAACCACTAGCATTCCTTGAGATTGATGTCTTGCATGATGAGTCAACACCAGAAGCCCACCTCTTTGGAGTATCCAAGTAACTTGTATTCAATAAGCAGCAACTCTTTGAAATCCTTGGCGAGTTATTCAAATGCGGATGCAACTCAATAGTCAACTCTGAACCATCAACAAGTTTAACAGCATCAATCTTGGGAGGAAGATTCAGACTGCTCACTCCCCTGTTTTCTACTAAACTCAAAGCATTGTTTGCCAACTCAACAGCCCTTCTAGCCACCACAGCTTTCTTTATTGCCTCCTCTCTAGCCCTAGCAGCTGCCTCAACCTTCTTCTCCACCGCAATGTTTGCATCTTTAACCACATCCTCCATAGACCTCACCAATTGTCTACCCCCAAAAACCCTAGAACTACCCTTCGCTAGCATAACCCTACCCTCTTTTTTCTTAATCATCCCACTCTTCACTCTTCTTCTTCTTGCTCTAGAAATTGCCAATGGTTTGGGAATCCAACAATCCACACAGACAGAAAATTCGGAGCCCAAACAAGCATAGGACCACGGAGCAGCGTCTTTGTACTTCAAGAAGCAACTTTCATGCACAGAATGCCGACACTGGGCGCAACGAAGAGACTCAGGAGATGTATCGGAAAAACAATATGAGCAAATTTTGGAGGATTGAACAGAAGAAAAACACTTGTTGCAGAGAAGAACTACACGCCATTCGCTATAAAGGGTTCGGAGCCCCTTCTTACCGTTGCAAACGTCAACCTTGAAGCCACACGCATGGCATTCGGTCAAGTTGGGCAAATCCCTAGTTTTCTTTTGCGGTGGACACAGAGGATCGGAATCTGAAGGGTTTTCCGATGACTCGGGGGTTTGTGGATTTGCCTCTGTTCGTTTCTCCGGTTGAAGGAGCTCCATCGCCGGCGATGAGAATGAACCTTTTGATTTCAGATATGAAATGATAGGGTTTTGCCGATTAGGGATTTGGGAGGGGATCACTACGTTCATAATCGATATCATTTCGTTCGCATGAGCCGTGGAATTTTCAAAGGGCACGCGCTATCATTGCGAGTGGAATTTTCGAGTCTATTTCCTTCATATATTTTTTTCTGCTCTTGTCGGTAAAATAAGGAAATTAAATAATCTGTCCCACAAAACTTTGAAACTGCATTGTTATTTTCCCGTGCTAGAACGAGCGAGAAGCAATGTTATTAAAACCGGTCAGGTTATTAACTCGGTCGAGGTATTGGGTTATTGGGTCACTGGTTCAATCAGTGGGTCACTGGTTCAATCAGTGGGTCACTGATTCAATCGCATAATCCGGTAATTATATGTAATTTTATAATTTATATTAAAAATTATAAACATACTCAAATATTTAAAAAAATGATAAAAATTTCGAATATTTTAATATAAAAAATAATAAATCACATATTATTATCAAATAAAAAATCAAAGAAAAATATAATGATCGTGATACGGGGTTCAAAAAATGACATTTTTAACTATAAATTAATTCAAAATTTTATGCATAGTATATAATTGAGATAATATTAGTGTTGTAGGTACATAACTTATGTAAGTCAATAAGCAAAAAAAATATTCAAATATGGCTATTATGATTTCTTTTGAAAAAAACAAAAAATTGGATTTATTTTTTTTGGACCGGGCCGGGTCACCGGTTTTTTATGAAAATCGGCCGGGTCGGACCGGGTCACAGCGATTCTGATGCATGACCGTTCCGTTGCTTCAACCGGATCGATTATATGACCGGTTTACAGGTTTCCGGGTCAACCTAGCCGGGTTAGTCCGATTTTAATAACTATGCGATGAAGTATGACATTTTCTTGTTAATGTTTTAATTGAATTATGGCAAATTATGATATTTTCTTTGGTTTCGTAAGGAATAGACAAATTAGGATCTGTTTCGTACAAGGTTATTTGAAAGATTATTGATAAAGGTATTTTCGTAAACATAAATTGACATATTTGGTACAAGTAAACATAAATTGACATCCTTGTATTACTCGTAATATGATTTACAAAGAAAAATTACTATTCAGATTATCAAAAATAACATGATAATTCATAATCCAACATGAAGGAAAAGCACTGTATCAAAATTTGAGACAAAAATAGCCCAGCACAGCTTTTTGTAATCTTGAAAGTAAAAACATTCATGGGTTATTTTTGTAATATAACGTCATATTTTCAGTAATATTTCATTCTAAACCAAACATAGAATCAGTAATCTTTACCTAATATTTTCGATAATATTTTGATGAACCAAACAACTTGTTTGTAACATTCAACAATTATGGGTAAATTCAATTTTTTATTGTATTTTCAGTAATTGAGATTCTCAGATACTAAATTTTTTTTCTTGTACCAAACACACCCTTAGTGTCATAATAATATCTTGAGACTATATTATATTATTTGAGATGATAAAATGTTTGAAAATAAAAAATTATGAAAATTATTTGTCATTTTAAATGAACAAAATTATGTTATTTTTAATGAAATCATGTCATTTTGGTGTGTTTTTACATTCTATCTCCTCTATTTTTTATTTATTTCTAATTTTATAAATTAAAAAAAAATGACAAAACACACAAAAACGATATAGTTTTGTTAAAAATGATAAACATTAAATCATAAAAGATATATTAATTTTTTTTTTTTGGAAATAAGATATATTAATTTATTGTGTCACTATATCAACACACATTCAAAGATTCAATATCAATTTAAAAAAATCATATCCGATAAAATAATATGAAAAACTTGCTGAAAAATATTCAATAATTAGGAGTTATTTTAATAACGGGCATATGATGATGAGTATCTAAATAATGATAAGTCAGTATTTACAAAAAAAAAAAAAAAATGATAAGTGAACGAGGGGGAATCAGGAATGAAGGTTTTCTAATTCTTCTCCGGTCTCCACATTTGCCAGGAGAATTCGTAGATGGTTGGCGGAAGATTCGAGGTTAATTTACACTCACGCATTCAAAGATGACAACTCATGTGCGTATTCAATTGCCAGAATCAGTTGAGTTTCCGAGAAACTGAGCTGCATTTTCTTTTTCCTACATTTCTGGTGATATCTTGAGTTACGGTATTGGACTGGTAACAGTTCCCCGTTTAACGTTTTCATGCTGCAAAGAAATACATTATTTATTTTTTTGATAACAACATTATTTTTTTCTCTCATTCATCAAGTATAAATTATATTTTAACTATATCAACGGAAGGTTAATACTATTTCATCTGTGTTTGATTTTTAACTTATTATCGACTTTAAATAAATTTTAAAAAAAAAAAAATATTTCCAAAATTAAAAATTATGATATTTTTAAAATTTATTCTTTTTTATCTTTTAATTATTAAGTATAACTTTATACTTTGTTTCTAAAAGATATCCCTCGTTTTAGATATGTCAAAATTATTAAGATTAAATATTTACGTTGTATTTTCACAATTTCGGAGAAAGTTTAGCAAACTGACAAATAACCAAACGTTTTTTAAAAATAATCGAAATTTCAATGTTGGAGAACTTAATTATTAACAATGTTTTTAAGTCACGATTGTTTTTTAGGGGTTAGAATTACAATAGTTATGGGAATGCTTTAGTTAAAGGAAAAAGGAAAAAAAAGTTTTGCTTTAAATCATTTACACCCATATTTTTTTTTTAATCTCTTATGATTTTTTCCATTCACACCCCTCCTTAAAATGTATAAAAAAATTGGTTGCAGTAGTTAGAAATAAAGCATTTAAAATTCTAATAAATTAAAAATATTGAAATTATTTTTGGTAGTAAATATTGAAACTTTTATAAGTATTTGGTAATTTAACAAAGAGTATTAAATACTGTTATGGCCAGCCCATTTGATAGGCCCACCAGATTGGGTCCAATATTAATACCTCATGTTTAGAACTTTTTAGATGATATTTTATGAGGGAGTGGATCCTCTCATGTGCTAATTAACATGACCATATTATATGAGGCAATTATAATCATACATGGGTGAATTAATGATAATAAGGAAAGAGAGAGAAAAAAATATAAAAAACTCATTACTATTAATTTAATTATTAATGATTAAAATCCTCTCACTTCATGTTAAATTAAATGAGAGTATCCACGCCTCGTCACATATTATTCTCTTTATTCTTGCCTTGCTATTTGTTGTACATTGACAGTCAACACAGTATGCCTTGCAACAGAGATAAGGCTTGACACAATCCTAATTTTGTTTTCCATGCCTGAACCCCTCTTTTTTAATTACCCCTTTTCACCCATTGATGGGACACACTTATATTTTTCATCTTTATGAAGTGTTATTTTGCTAAAATATAGAGTCATAGTGAAATACTCTCTCTGATTGGAGTAGGAGTGGCAATTTGAGTTGACTCGCCCTGACCCGCCCCGTCCCACCACCAACCTGTCAAAAACGGGGCAGGGCGGGTTGACCCGTCAAAAAATATGAGTTAGAAAAATGAATCCACCCTGTTTTATGGTGGGTTGGCGGGTCAATCCGCTAATTGAAAAAAAAATTAATTAAAATTCAAAGACAAATTTATTTTATGAATTTTTCTAATATTATTTTATTTTATTTCACACTTCTCTATATTTTTTTAATCTCAATATTAAATGTATTCTAATATTTATCAAACATTCTTTAGGAATTTATATATAGATAACATTTGTCATAAATAAAATTGTTATTCTTTATTTTTCTAAGAAGTACTAAGATAAAAAAAAATTGGATATCACAAAAATTTAAAGACTAATGAAATACTACCTAATTGTAAAAAAAAAAAAAATTATAACCCGGCCGATCAACCCGCCTCACAACGAGTTGAACTCGTTTTGACCCACTTCTAGACGGAGCGGATTGAGGTGACTTAGTGGATTGAAAACTTCAACCTAACCCGTCCCGTTTTGACGGGTTGACCCACGGAACTCAACCCATATTTTCACCCTAAGATTGGAGTATACCTGCCTATCACAAGAAAAACTCTAACCAAATCTTGGTCATACCATTGCTACTAATACTACTCCTAAATTGATATGTTAACTTTATAATGGCTCTACACAAACACAAACAGTTCAAATACTTTACTCATTAAGGGATTAAGATTTTTTTTAGTGCAGAAAATATCAGTCGGGATGAGATATTTTTAATTTTAAATTAGTAACAATTTCCCGTTTTAGATATTTTGTGTCTTCGAAGTATAGATATAGATAAATACATCCATAAACGACAAATTTGAATGGATTTGCTTTGGGTGTACGATTGGAATTTACTATCTCGTTTATTTTTTCTTTTTAATCCGTCACTTTTACAAAGTTATTTCTGTTATATTTTATTTCATTTGTTATTTAAATCTTTTAAAGTAATAACTATTTTTTGTAATAATTTTTTAATTTTATTTTTGATAATATTGAATGAGTAGGAAAGTTAATAATGAATCATTATTTAAGTATTTTAATAAAAGGTAATTAAATCAAATAAAAAATATATTAATAATTAAAATTATAAACTGGCTTTTTTCAATTCATATAAAATGACTTTGAGTCATTAAAATTAAATATATAACAAAAAGAAAAACTTGAGTAAATTATATAAAAGAAAATATATTTCTACTTTTTTTTTCCTACCATATATAAAATCACAAATTCGAAATCTTCGTTAGCAAAATTGTTAAAACTTCAAAGAAATTATATTAGGAATAGAATATTGTGACAACCAAATAATGTTACTATCAATGTTACTGCCATATCTTAACCGTTGATTTTCGCCAATCAACAGTTATCATTTATTGCGAATTAATAATAATTAATGAGTTTGATTTGGAAAATGATAACCGTTGATCGGCGGAAATCAACGGTTAAGATGTGGTAATTACATTGGTAGTAACATTATTTGATTGTCAGAATATCGTATTCCAATTATATATAGGAAAATATTATTTTTATACAAGATAATATCTCTTTTTTACATACCCATCTTAGAGAACTACTTTCTTACAATAGAATTTTGTTTATGAT